GAACAGGGGCGGAGCTTGGTTAGGGCCAAACTGAGCCATGGTCGTCCCAGTATTTTGCACTTCTTCTTTTACCTACGGTTTGGAGCCTAGCCAAGCGCATCACCTGCAGTTCTCTCCTTTGGGCTGGCTCGCCCAGGTTTTCCTTTGAAGCTCCGCCACTGGGAGAAACTGAACCTCAGGTCCGACGGTAAGGAAGAACCTCCACGCCGCAGTCGTAGCCCGCCGCCATTTCACCACCCATGTAGTCAAGGACGCCGACCAAAACCTCCCACGAACGCTGCTTTTCGAAGGCTCTGTCGCCTCACCATCCAGGGTCGTCTCCCCCAGATTCTGATGTCCTCCACGAAATCGAGCAACAAAGACCACACCACCATCGTACTTGGTAGGTGGGCTATCAAACCGTTCATTCTTCATGGAACTATCATAGAAGATAAAAAGGCGAGCCATGAGGACTAGTTGCTTGATAGAGTCGGAGGATGAACCTGGTAGACCTTTTATTTTTCACGATATTATTATGATTATTTTTTGCATTTATTTAATTTTCTATTTTTTGTTCTATTAAGATATACATTGATTTTAGTATTTACATTATATTTTATTTTTGGGTAAATACATGAGTACCCCTGCGTTAGAAAATGAGTGTCGCTCAAACAGGTGTATCTAGCACCGAAATACATCTAGATACATCCGTTTGAGCGACACTTACTTCCGGACTAGGAAGCATTTGTTTATCAGATGCACAAACAGGTTTTGAAAAAGATATTTTAATTCAAAACATAAACATCTCTTTAAGGGCTTCATTGGTTCAAAGTAATTGCATGGGATTTTAAGATGCATCCTAAGGAAATTTTTCTACATTCACAGTTTTAGGATCCTTAGGAAAAAAAAACTAAGTGTTACTTTGCACTCTTCTGAAGGAAAATTTCCATCTACTCAAAACTCTTGGTGCAACTTTTTTTCCTGTGACATCACATACTAGTTGATCCAAATGTCCGTGATTTAGAAATCTTATAGAATTCAAGAGGACATGCTACTTGAATTTTATTTTATTTCGTATTCTTGTGTTTTGAGAATTTTATGAACTACTCCCTCCGTTCACAAATATATGATATTTTTAATATTTTAATATGAACTACGTATTGACTGAAATGAGTGAACAAACACACTAGAACGTGTCTATATACATTTCGTCCAGGGAAAAATCTAGAACATCTTACATTTGTGAATGGAGGGAGTATACACTGATTACTATATTTACTACTCCCTTCGTAAATAAATATAAAATCATTTAGATTACTATATATCTCTTTACAGAGGGAGTAATAATCAAAGAGGCCTTTACAGATTTATATTTTTTGAGGATTTTTAAAAAATTATACTCCCTCCGTCCCAAAATTCTTGTCTTATATTTGTCTAAATACGGATATATTTAGTTACTTTTTAGTGTTAGATACATCCATATCTGAGTTTGTACTACCTTTACAAATCTTTAGTACTCCCTTCATCCCAAAATAAGTGACTCGAGTTTGTAAAAATATAAATGGAGTACAAAGTTAGTGTAAACTCGAGAAATAAGTGACTCGAGTTTGTAAAAATATAAATGGAGTACAAAGTTAGTATAAACTCGAGTCACTTATTTTGGGACGAAGGGAGTATTTGTTTCAGGGAACTTTACAATTTTTTTTTGAGAAATTTCCTTTTAAATTTTTTTAAGAAATCTCGCCACTTTATTGAATGATAGCAATGTTCATAGGTACACGACTTTGGTCATGGGGAACTCCCAACCAAACATGCCGACCTACTCCTAAATTACAAGCGAACTTGGCGAGATTATAAGATTCGAAATTATGATTTATACGCTCAAACACAAAAGCAACCGAATTGAAAAAGCCTCTCCGAAGTGTTATTTCATGTACTATAGCCGCATGTGGACCGTTTGTTCCTTCGTTTATATCTTGAATCACTCCTTTGCAATCTGAAGCAATCATCATTCTTGTTGACTGAAGATCCTCTGCAAGAGCTAGAGCTTCCCTGCACGCGAATGTTTCCAAGATCATGGGGTCAGTAATTCCGCGATAAACAACCGCTGATGAGCCCAAATAAACTCCCGTGTGATCTCGGCACACTGCTGCCACTGCCCCGCCACGTCTATGACGTCCCACGGCTCCGTCCACATTAATCTTCACAACACCTAGCGGTGACGCACGCCAACTCCTGTTACCTCCTTTCTGTACTGTCTGCACTCGTCACTCGATCGGCTTCTCCAGTTGCTGCAGCTCATTAAGGTACGAGGTGACAAATGAGGAAGTTTGCATTGGAGATTGAAAAATGCCTTCATGTATCGCGTTCCTCCTGGCATACCAAACCGCCCACAGCGTCACAATCATATTGGTAAAAGGACTGCTGGTCAAGGTCTTCGTGCATCCTAAAGAGCCAGTTCTTGGCGTTGGGGTCTTCAATCTCCGCCATGCACTAGTAGAAAAAGGGGCTTTTGTCCCGGTTGGTAAGGCCCTTTAGTCCCGGTTTTCGAACCGGGACTAAAGGGTCGGTACTAATGCCTCTCTTCTTTAGTCCCGATTTAATCCAGAACCGGGACTAAAGGGCGCGGCCACGTGGAGCTTCACCTTTATTGATTTTTAAATTTCTGAATTATTTTAACATCTAGTGTGTAATCACCATCCCTCATCACTGCTCAATTTATCCTCTAATCACCCCTCATCATTCCAAATCATCTAACTACCCGAACGGTCACCCATCCTCCCACTCCCCCAGCCTGAGCACGCTTAACTTCCGGGTTCTATTCTCTCTCGTTTCCAAGTCTAATCTTGTTGTTTTCCTGACAATAGTAAAATGTCAATCCTATTAACCTTCATGAATTTTGCTTGAGCATGAAGTGACACATTTCACTGTTTGAGTTTGAAACTATTGTTTTAAAAAACAATAATTATTTAGTAACACTAATATTTCTTGAATAATTAGTTTGACCATTGTTTGACCACAGTTTGACTACAGTTTGACCAGATTTGACCAAAATTCAAAATAACTGAAATAATTATTTAGTAACACTAATATTCTAGAATAATTAGTTTGACCATTGTTTGACGACAGTTTGACCACTGTTTGACCAGATTTGACTAGTAATTTTTTCGATTTTTTCCACTCTAGATCTTAAAAGCCCCGTAACTTTTTTTCTGTTACGTTTTTGAGGATTTTGAAAATGTTTAACGGGGTTTCCCCCGTTAAATTCGGATGTAACTTTTCGAGTAGATGATTTTTCATATAAAAAACTTTTTAATCCGAGTTCGTATGCAAAAGTTATGCCCATTTTACAAATTCCAGAGAGATTTTGCAAATAAAGTCGAAATTCATATTTGTAAATTTTCCCAACAAGTAGACCACATATCACATGGGAAACTTATTTTATTTTATTTTTTTTTGACATTTCCATCATTTTCTTTTGTTTTTTCTAAAACTGAAAAGGCGGTCCACAGGGGGGGGTGTTTGAAAATGGGACCTTTAGTACCGGTTCGTACCATGAACCGGCACTAATGCCTCAAAACCCATTAGTACCGGTTGGTGGCACCAACCGGTACTAAAGGTCTAACCTTTAGTCCCGATTGGTGCGACCAACCGGGACTAATGGGCATCGCACCCTTTAGTCCCGGTTCGTGGCACGAACCGGGACTAAAGGGTCCAGGTGAACCGGGACTAATGCCTTAGCCGCACGAACCAGGATAAATGCTCACATTAGTCCCGGTTCTTGACTGAACCGGGACTAATGGGCTGACCCGGCCTGGACCAAAGCCCTGTTTTCTACTAGTGATGTGAGCTACCAGGGCCGGATCCGATAGCGCCCAAGTACAGCGTGCTAAAGTGCATGACACCAGGGCGTGCCGCCATGAGTCTGGAGCTCCACACAACGGGCAGGAGTCGCGTGTGGCCATATTCCTCCTGTTTAGAATGTCCGTTGTTGGGAGTGAGTGACGGGCAAGTCGCCATATGAAGATTCTGACCTTCGATGGCGCCTTCAGTGA